TATTTTACAAGACCTGCTCATGAACATAACTGAGTAGTTCAAACAACAAAATTTCAATATGGTGTTGTTCTAATTATTTGCAGAAGCAGGCACTGAAAATATGATATTAAATTTTCCTATTTAAATTAAATCCATATTTTCCATTAAGAGATAGGGTCACTTTAACAGAACACATACCCAGCAGAAAAATAAATCAGATGCCAAAAGGAACCATTCTGTCATACAAGGCATTAAAAACAATAATACATAAAAATCCTCTACAAGTTAACAGTTGTTAGTTAGTTGCACACTGGAATCATTAGCCTACCCTGACTTTCTATGTAAGGTAGATTTTGAGGCACACTGTATATAAGTTTATAGGATAAAACTTGAGTGTAATCTTGGTTTCACGTTTTGGTGCCCCTCATAACACCTTGTATCTGCTCTGATGTCCTGTGGTGGCACCATGGAAGAAAGGATGAATTACCACTAGCCACCAGACAGAAACAAATGTCAGAACTTGTTCACATCAGGCTCAGTTCATTTTAGCATCCTTAATAGAAAATTTAGGCTCAGTGTTTTTAACTCAGCTTTGATGTTTCACTGCTTGTAAGAAATTAGGTTATAAATACAGTTTTTATCCGTTTGTGGAAAGTTGTACACTAGATACTGAGGTGAATCAAATTATCACTTCTCTGAAAGGCTAATTTCCAAAAAGCCACTTTGTTTGGTATCACAGGAGAGGGAGGGAACGAGAGCAAAGAAAGGGAAGGTCAAACACGTATTCTGTTAATAGGTACAAAGTAAAGTGGCACATGACTCATCAAAAAGGCACTCCAGAGTTAGGTATTTTTTCCCATCACATTTCCTTCAAGAGCTTCTAGAGGTTTCTTTAGTATTCTGTCCTTACAATTTTAGGAAAAAAAATGGCATTGGGGCAAATAATTTACGTTTTCATCTTCTGCTTTCATGAACACAATAATACAGCCCAACAGCTGTTTGGTACCCAACAGACTGGATGAGTGGATGAGTGACAGCTGCATTTCCACTTCCTCCCTGAGGATGTAAAGCCTTGAGACTTCACCCTCCCTTCCAGGAAAGGCAATCCTGTCATCAGATGGGGACACAGTTGGGAAATCTTTAAACAGGATTACATGAGCCTAATACCTACCTTCTACTGTCCACATCTGCAAACTAGAATGAAAGCCCAAACTAAGTTTTCCTATTCCATGAGAATGCAGAGGCAAAATAGTCACACTGGGCTGGGCACTGATCACTCCCCTTTTCTCCCATCAGCATTAAATTGCTCTGTACTCAGAAGTGTGGAAACCCCCTCCAGCAACACCAGCAGCAGGCTCAGTAATATTGAAAGTTAATAGAGTATGTGAAAAAGAGAAGGCAACATCTTAATCTTGAAGGTTGGACAGGATGGTTTAGAGAAATCCAAAATGCCACAATGTATTCACTGAATTATAATTAAGATAAAAAACAACCAAAAGCAACTGGCTAAAAGTTAAAGCACCAACATCACACAATGAGACAGCAGTGCTTTATCGTCAGTGTTACTATTTACAGTTGTGGCCCAAATCATCTATTTGATTTATTCATTGAAATTTGTTAAAGATATCCCATCATATCTGTGCTCCTTGCATAAATGCACAGCGTAACAGTTTGGATATTTGTATTTGGATTAAGAAAGTTACTGTTTAATGTATAACTGAAATGATTAATGTTTAAACAGTGCATTTCATTGTGAAGTTATTAAAGGCAACCTAAAAATATCACATGTAAAAATGACAACTGAAAACCTGGTACTTACAGGTGATTACAGTTTCTTTTCAAGGATTTAGCACTTTAAACTCATTTATTTACTTGTGTGTTTGTTCTCTTAAATCACCAGAAACTTTAGATTACTTAATAGACATTTTTCTTGCATCACACAGATACAAGAGTGACATCATTCATATTGTCCACATTAAAGTATGTAGCTACAGAGGAATCATTAATCAAAGAACAAGATAAAGAAATTTTCCAAGGTTAGAATACGGAATAGTAAGCACATCTTTCTTCACTTATGCATTTTTAAATACCAGGAGGTGATCTGTAAAGCGAGAGACATTCAACCTCCACTCTTCTCTCTATATCACAGCTGTTATGCTACCTCTCACTCTTAGCAAGAGAGGAATTATCAAAGGAACATAAAGAATGTATGTGGAAGGCCAGTGACGCACCAAGTGCGTGGCCTCCTTCCCTCTCCAGCCCTGCCTGCAGTGACCACACCAAGCAGGAGCACCAGAAGACTCTGTCACTGGAAGGAGCAAGAGTTTCATCTTTAAATCAGATCTAAAAGCTCACTGTTGAGAACTATTAGTCCAAGAAATGTGATCAGCCTCATCACAAAGTGGGGAGCAGTCTGATGCCCTTTCTTGCAAATCTTCAGATGCATAAAATATGCAGCTACTGCAAAGATAATCCCAGTCATTTCTGGGGACTGAGCTTCTCAGTTAAAGTAGAGCATACCTTTAAATGCTAAGCATGTGTGTGAATCTTAACCACAATCAGGATTTTGATCCTTATTAGACCCCAAATGGCTAAGAAAAAAAAAATTAATATATTTTTGGCAATTTGAAAAATTTTCACATAAATTATAAAATCTAAAGTAAAAGATTCAGAAGAGTCAACAAAAAGACAGGAAAATAGATGCTAAGTAAATCTAGACTTATTAATGCAATAGATCACTGCCAATGAGACACCAATCAGACAACAGCTTACACTGCACAAGGACTTTGAGTGGTTAAGCAAAGACGAAATCACAGAAATGATGGTAGCCTTTAATAGAGCATTTTACAAATAATTGTTTTATGCAGGCACAAAATGCCAATCAGGTCACAAAACAATTTCTGAAACTTGTCCTCCGGCACAATTATGACTGTAATGAACTACTTCCTCTTAACCTTTTGTGCCTACAGAGAACTTTCCTAAACTTTAGCCCTTTGCCAGTTACATTCATTGCAGATGTAAGATTAGATCCTTCTGCAGACTTACTACTCAAAGTCCTTCTGTTTTAACAAAAAACAGTTACAACAGAGAAGCTTCCCAAATCAGGTAATTTTACACAGGCGTTCAGAGGAATTTACTGAAAGAAATCAGATAGTAAGAGTAGTAGTAACATCAATTAAGATCACCTGACACAGACTATTAGATACTTCTACCGTAAAAGTTTTGTTATCTATTGGACTGGTATTTGCTAAATATATGCTTTTCACAGGATGACTTGTGGAGCTAAAATGCATCTATTACTGAAGTGAGGCGAATAAACTGTAAAAAAAACTCCAGCAAGCTTCTCTTTGAAAAGCTGTTATGTTCCCAAGTTATCTAGAGGAAATAACTTAGATTTGGCAGTAGAGATCATCTCTGCACTGTAATAAACCCCTGTCAGCATAGTTATTCAGTTTGGCTAAGCAACAAAGCTTTGGAAACAATGCATCTTACACACTAACTAGAGAGCTCTTGCAGGTAGACAAAGGATTTCAAAAGCTGCTAAATCATGAATTCTAAAATTATTAATCAGTTGGGGCTGGAGATGGGCATTGCCTGATTCAGCTTCCCTGTGATGCTTAAGGATGCTCAATATTCAGGGAAAAAATTGCTGGAACAGAAAACAAGGAGGTTGTCCTTTCTGTGCATCAGTAAAAGATAATAAGATGCTCCACTCTGACCAAGATTTTCCCTACTATCCAGACATACCTCTCTCAGACTTCCATTGTACCAAATATACGTCTGGTAGCCAGAATGTTCCTCCCTTCAGCCTTAGGACTGTGTTCCTTCAAGCACAGCCAGAAATGAGTAAGAGTCCTTTCTTCAGCTCCTTTCCCAAGTCACACAACCCAACAAAGAAACTGAGCTCCCAACTACTGCATCAAGGCCAGCAAAGGCATTTCACTCATTTCAAACCAGTGCTAGCAGCATTCTCCATTAGTCTTGGTTTGTTGGGCACATTTCTTTCTCTCTCAGAAAAAGAAAACTGGTCACCTTGTTTTACTGCCCTTACCACAACACTTTGAATCTAGTCCAGTCAGGCAGTGGTGATAAGATTACATAGATAAAAGATATTTTTTAATCTGCATGAAATAGATAGGTACATTTTTTAAGTAGAAAGGTGATGAAGATTATAACTGTTTCACAGTTAAACTGATTCACTGATGCTATACAAAAATTTTAGGAAACAATAATTGAGATAGCCACATTAAAATCTCTTAGGGGATAATGTCTTTCCTATGATTGATAAATTGTATTCCATCAAAGCTTGATTAAAGTTTGTCTTTTTCTGCCAACAGATTTGATAGCAAAACCTAAATACAGGATTATTCTCTTGCTTGAACTCAATTTCTCTGAAAATAAAATCTTGGTTTGGTTTGATTCAAATGTTTCTATTGTTCTTTTTCAGAGCAGAGTGGAATTTTTAGAAATGTGTGAGAAACCATTTGGTCATTTTAATAAAGGAGACATTACTGATACTCATAAAGAAGAAACTGGATCCTCCTATAATTTTTGCAGATGTAGATCCTGCCAGCTAATATGGTGTAGTGTGCCAGTGAAGCAGTGAAAAGTTAAACTCATTGAAATTTTGGCCCAGTAAATGTGTGGAATGAGAACCAGCAATGCTCTCCTCTGCATTTATTCCCTGAATAGAATATGTATATATTAATTATTTTAAGACAACATTGATACATGCTCCAGTATTCCAAGGAGTTTTAGTTGCATGCATCCTGCTCCCATACTACACAAAAGATTGATAGAAAAGTTGAAGCAATTTGAAAGTCTTTAAAGGACTGATGCTATACCTTTTCATTTGGATAAAAACTGGGAAAAGCTGCAGGCCCTCACATGATCTCATCAAGAATTTAGCTAGAAATTATTAATAGACTAAGACTTTGTAAAATCTGGAAGAGAAATTCTAGACACACTCAGATCAACTTTTGACTGAATTACTATTTCACAAGCAATGCAGTGGTACTTACCACATGGTAAAGAGTTATCCTCTTCTACCGTTGTGTTATAGGTCCAATCCTCCTTTCTCCAGCGTATAACACCACTATCCTGGCAGTCCTCAGACTGTGTTATATTTGCCTTGTCCCACATTCTGAACAGGTACAGTTCTCCAGTCATACCCCGGTGAGGTGACGCAGCTGTACCTTGCAGCTTTGAACAGCCAAGTAAAAACTGTCCTTTTCCAGGCAAATTAACTTTCCCATTTAGTTTTTTGTGTAATTTTTCTGTTCCATTTATGAATACTTTCATCTCCTCATTGTCACTTTTCCACTGGATACATATTTGGTTCCAAGTGTTTTTATGAAGTTTTACCGAAGTATTTATTTGTTTTCCAAACAACCATATCTTCATTTTGCCATGATCTCCTGTAAGTCCAAGCTCATACTTATTTGCAGAGAGATTGGTGTGAAGACTTTTCTCAGCATATACATATGCTGTCCACAGACTGTTTGAAGAATACAGCTTGAGGTGCACACAGACAAGGAATTCTCTCAAAGGATGCAGAGAAATTCTTGAAGACATGCTCCAAGGATCTTCACATGCAGTCTTAAAGACGGCTTTGTATCGCCCTAGGAAATCCTCCTGATCTAAATAAAGAAAAGGTGATTTGTAAAATTATTTAGTCTTAAAAAAGATCATTCATACAAAAGTTATTCTTCCATATAGCACTGTTTCTAGGCATTTTCCTAGGAGATTTCAAAACAAAACATTAAGAAACAATCTTGCAACCTACTTCTCTGGATTTATTTTTGTGGTAATGAAGTGACAAATGTGGAGGCAGTCAATAAATCCTAGCTGCTCATGAAAGCTTTGAAGTAAAACTTAAGCACAAGACCAAGGATGACCATGTAGAATCACAGAATCATTCAGGTTGGAAAAGATCACCAAGATCATCGAGTCCAACAGTCAACCCAGCAATGCCTAGTCCATCACTAAACCATGTCCCCATCTTTCAAGCACCTCCAGGATGGACTCAACCACTTCCCTCCACAGCTTAGTTCAGTGCTTAGTAACCCTTCCCACAAAGAAACATTTCCTAGTATCCAATTTCTAGTATCTAAACTTCCCCAGGTGCAACTTGAGGCCATTTCCTCTGTTGGTTACTTGGGCGAAGAGACTGAGCCCCGTTTTGCTACAACCTCTCTTCTCTTAAGGCAGAGAAGCAAGAGGATCTTCCAAGAGCCTTCTTTTCTCCAGGCTAAAGGATCCCAGGTCCTTCAGCTGCTTCTCAGAGTACTTGTACTCCAGACTCTTCACCAGCTCAGTTGCCCTTCTCTGGACTTACTCCAACACCTCAATGACTTTCTCGAAATGAGGAGCCCAAAACTGAACACAGGATTTGAGATGTGGCCTCACCAGTGCCGAGTACAGGGGGACAATCCCTGCCCTGTCCTGCTGGCCACACTATTGCTGATACAGGCCAGGATGCCATTTGCCTTCTTGGCCACCTGGGCACACCCTGGCTCATGTTCAGCAGCTGTCAATCAACATCTCCAGATCTTTTTCTGCCAGGCAGTTTTCCAGCCACTCTTCCCCAAGCCTGTAGCGCTGCATGGGGTTGTTGTGACTCAAGCGCAGACCCCAGCACTTGGCTTTGTTGAACCTCACACAACTGAGGCTTCATTCTGCTCCTCACTCCTGTCTTCCAGCTCAGGGGGCTGGGTACTCTGAGACTAAGGCAAAGAAAGCATGAAGTACACCAGCCTTTTCCTCACCCTTTGTCACTGTATTTCCCCTTCATCCAATAAAGGCTGGAGATTCTCCTCAGCCGTTTTGTTGCTAATGTATTTATAGAAATATTTTTGGTCTTTATGGCAGCAGCCAGATTAAATTTCAGTTGGGTTTTGGCCCTTCTGATTTTCTCCCTGTCTAACCTTAAGGCATCCTTGTAGTCCTCCTGAGCTTCCTGCCCCTTCTTCCAAAGGTCATAAACTCTTCTTTTCTGAGTTCCAGCCAAAGCTCTCTGTTCAGCCAAGCTGGTCATCCTCCCCACTGTCTTTCAGCAGGGGGTGACCTGCTCTTGGCCCCTTTAAGAATTCCTTATTGAAGAAGAATGTCCAGCCTTCCTGGACTCCTTTGCCCTTCAGGCCTGCTTCCCAAGGGATTCTGTCAACCAGCTCCCTAAACAGGCCAAAGTCTCCCTTCCAGAAGTCCAAGGTGGCAGTTCTGCTGACTCCCCTCCTCAAGTCTCCAAAAATCAAAATCTAATTATTTTGTGATTGCTGAAGTCTCCAACCATCATCCACCAATCCTCTCTGTTCATAAACCGGTCCAGCAGGCACCTTCCCTATAAAACCAGTAGCTCCAGATAATCCCTCAAACACTGAAACTTGATCATAACTGTTCAGTTCTTGTAGGTGGCTTGTTTCCTCCATTGTCCCAGTACAGGAAAGGGCAGACTTTTGTGGTTGTAGATGTAAACTCTTGGGAGCTGACTGTTATTTTGTGGAAATACGCACATTTCATTCACGTAATCATTATCATGGTTGCTTGCTTTAGAGTGCACACAGCAGCAACAAAATAAGAAAAAGTTCCTATGGAACAACAGAAAAATTAAACAGCCTGTCAGATGTTCAGCCAGTGCAAGAGAATGCACTACTGGCATCTTTAAGGAGATCATTATCTAATATTTATATTAATATTTTTATTTTAATAAATATACACAGAGTTTTTATCTACGCTCTAGAGGACGTATGGGATTAATCATGATTGGTCAGGGTTGGAAAGCAGGAAAAGATTATCCAACATAGGAAAAAATCTTTTCTATTAGCTCCTCTGTAAGAAGACAAACTTCCAGGCAAATTGGATCCGTTTTTTTTTTTCCAGGGTAGATTATGTTCGTAGTCCTAGTTAGCTGTCAAACTCACAGCCAGTTCTTCTGTAATGTTCTCAAGCAATCAGAGCACCAGCTTTCATCAGGCCAGTTCTGACAACTTTTCTGTCTCTTGACCTCCAGGCTCTCAAATTTCTTTTTCAATAGCAACAAGGAAAAACAAGGAGAAAGTTCCTAACTTCCAAGTGCAACTTGATAGGTACAAGCTACCAGAAATGTTTGAAACAGAAAATATATCCATCTAGTTTCATGGAAAGTCATTGATACCTATTCTTGTTGCAACCTGTAGATTCAAGACTCTTTCTGCAATGTTAACTAGCAGAAACTTGCAGGCATTTTTCACAGCCTGGAATCATTCCTGAAGTTCAATATATATGCCAAAGTGCCATGCAAGGCCATAGACCAAATAAAAACTCTCTGGGTACAGGCTAAAATTAGGTGAAAATTCTAACTAGCAGACAGTGGATTTTGAATGGTGAGTTAATACTTAGATTGGTTCTTAATGGCAAAGGAGAGAAAAGACATATTTGACCCAACAGCAAGCCTCCCCCGCCTAACCCTGCAGCATGAATTCATTCATTCACTTTGGCCACTTGTCAGTCTGAAAGCAAAATCCGGGATACTTGGCTGAGAACACTTTAGCATGGAAAACTAACTTTTAAAATTACTTGAAACTGGATGAAGAAGAATGGATGGGAGGGGAAAGTGTCACAGAATAGGAGATTTTTCAAAATGGGGGCTCAGATATATCTACCTTTTTAAGTAAAATTAAAACAGATCTTCACCTTACAGCATGGACGGATCATAAGGAAACCGATTTTATAAAGGAAATGGCCAACTAGTTACCTGCCAACACTGGTGACACAGTCTTTCCAAAAAAAAAGAAGAAAATTGCTCAAGTCTTTCATTATTAAGTAGAAATTTTTGAAAGTTTTGAAAGACTTGATGCAACAGCTGTTCTTTGAACAGTGTATATCAGAAGTATACTTCCCATGACTCATATAGCCTCCAAAATTCCTGTAAGCAATCCTGAGCATGCAGAGATGACCAAATTGACTGGTAAAGGAAGTTTCCTGACACAGCTTCAAAACATGAAGTCACTGTTAACTATCCAAATTGACAGACTGGAATTCCATTCCTGAGCAAAAATACTGATCAAAACTGGAAGTACCATCAGCAGACTTGGTTTTGGAAGTGAACAAATTGTGAGAGAGGTTTGATTTCGTGCAAAGCATTAAATCAGTTCATATGCCAAGAGTGGATTAAAGGGCTGCTAGATTCTATTACACTCTTTAGGGGAATTGTCACTTTAAAGCTGTCAGGGGAGCCAGAGTGGACACAACTTGTAGATGAAAACAGTTGTAAGACAGGTAGTTAACAGAAATTACGCAAAATGAGAACAATCTGCTAATTATTATCCTGGTCTGCTCTATAAAATCCAAAAAGACTGCTGTTGATCAATATGCAAACCCTGAAGAATTAATTTAAACTAAAAAAATTGTTTACATAGAAAGGTCTAGCCTTCTGGAAAATGGAAAGCTGGCCCCCATTGCTCTAAACAGTCATCAAAAAAGTGCCAAAAAGGCATGCCAAAATTAAGAGAATAGATACCAATACTATCTGAATTGTTACAAGAAAGGCTGGAAATTTTAATATGCTTTATCGACCCAAAGAATGCTGAAAAAGCAGAAAATAAATAATAATCATAGTCAGAAGATGCACTTTGTTGTTCAGTGCAGCATTACATTACATTAGAAATTGGTTATCAGTATTATCCTGACTAAGCCTCCTTGACATGTGGGTGGATGCACTGTAAGGAGGAGATGACATTACAGTAAAGCCTTTGGAATATTTGTTAATAATTTTTTTTCTCTAGCAATGGTGGTTATGGGCTATGACCCACCCTTGAGCATGGAACTGAGGAGCTGGAGCTGCCTGTGCTCTGACAGAGGCATTCCTGTAGTCTTCTTGCATGTAGACAATACAATACATTCAGAAAAGTAGCCATGAACACACCTTTATCACCACAGCACAGAAAAGGGAGCACAGTAGAAAGAATGTTTCAAGCAGCTCCAGAGTAAGAAAAATCAGGAAAAAATAAATAATGATAATTTAAAAAAAAAAAAGTGAAAGAATCCCACAATTTGGAGTGAAGGTAACTCCACTCAATAGTAATTATGGGCTGACTTTTCAACGTCTTTTGCTGCATTTGGGCACATAAGTCTTTTCAGAAATGCAAATTTTTTCTTCTTACTATACTTACCTCTAAGACCTGCAAAACCTGGGGGTTTTGCCCTCACTAAAACTAAAAGCATGTACTTAATAAGCATGTTCTCTTAAGCCCTAATAGAAATCCTGAAACCTATGTACATACTTTCATATGTTTAAAATGAACTTTCTGAGAATGACAACATAAACCAAAAATGCATCTCTTTCTTCTTTCTAAACATTTTTAGATAGTGATAATTGGTATCTTTACAAGAGATAGCCAAGTGTAGGTATTAAGAATTAGACCTAGAGGAGCAGATTCTCTCAGTACATAAGCACCAGGGTTATTTTCCTTATATTACTAATAACCACTGGATCAGTACAGCTGCATACTAATACAGTCAGGTATTCTCCTGAATAAAAATAGTCACAAGTTTATATGTCTACACAATCCGGTTTTTAATTAGTAACAAAAGTTATTAACTTCTTTGCAAGTGTTTGCCACCTGTGACACATTTGGCTCACTACAGTCCATTAAAATGATGCCAAAAGACTCTCATATACTCACGTATTCCATCTACAGCTCATAACTGTTTTTTTATAAAAAGTCTAAAAACTTTAAACTTTCTACCTGTGGGCCACTTGATTCTGTTGAATATTTTGAAAATCTGAAGCTAAGACCTGTTTCCCCAAAATCAGTTTCATCCCTCCTTTTCATTCACAGTTCTATTTCTTTAGCTGAGGATAAACAACATCACATTATCCAGCACCCTGAAGATCAAGAAGAACACGGAAATTCTTCTCCCTTCATATTTTTTGGCGAACACTAACACTGGCACCTCAGATGAGGAGAGAACTGAGAAGAGACTCTGCTGACAGTACCAAGTGCTGACAGCCTAAAACAAAAAAACCCCCATAAAATAGTGGGAAAACGTAAACACACTCCTGTGTCAGTTTAGCTTTCCTTGATGATTACTAATAGTTCTAAGTGATACAAAAGTGAAAAATGAAATCCCTCTTTGCTTGCTTCCTCAGGCCTTTAGATATAGTTGAATTTTCCCTGGAAAAACTCTTCTATGACATCTGTCCATCTGCTGAGCAGCTATGTCCTTTTTACTATTTAATGTACAAGAGGTTAACACCTCTCCATCTTAGTATCAGGTTTATCACCTGAATCTCAGATTCTGTCTCAAGAGAAACATTTTGTAAGTTACTGTATCTGGAGAATAAGAGTCAAAACTAGTCTAGTCTGTAACCTATGAAACCTCATTGGTTGTACAACGTTGTTAAGCAGGCATACTTAAATAAAAAAAATCAGGCAGTAAATCTGAACTGCAAGAAGTTTTGACCTAGAGTAAAATAACATGCCATGACACAGAAAGCAACTTATGAATACTAGCCATAAAGTATACAGCAAAAAACACTCCAAACATTTTTAATACACCAAGCACATTATTAACATGATAAATGCATTACCCACTATTGACAAAAGGAAGCTTTATGAATGACAAGCACTGTTATCTTTATCAGCTGAGGTCCAGATTAGTAACAGATTAACCATCAGTTTACAGAATAGCCATGAAAAACACTAATTATTTTACTTTACCTCACACAAAAGCATCATTATGTCAGTTATCCACAAGAACCTTATGAATTTATTTTCCATTTGCTGTTACATAAAGAGCATAAACTGCCAAGTTCAAATATGTCATTTCTGTTACATGTTTTGGACCTTGCTACCCTTTCCTTAGCCATATTCAGATCCACAACCAACATCAATGCAGGAGATGTTCTACACTCACACACGCTCTAAATACAGCAAATCTCAAAGGATCTTGTGGTGTTTTCGTAAGAGCAGTGTGAAAGATTGAACAACATGTTCTGAAAATAGTAACACTTCCAGCTCAAAAAGACTCCAGCAATAAAATAATTTGTCTTGTTACTACAAATTGTGTTTTGGTTCTCTCCTCATCCAAAGCCTAGAAGAAGTTATTACCAATGATTTTTTGTGAAAACATAAAAAGCATCCAAAATGCTAAGCTGTTTCATTTCTTGTTAGGTACAGTTTTCCCCCTGATTTCAAGAGGCAAAAACTTGCCTGTTTTAATATATTCAAAAGTCCTATTCACCAAGACTAATGTAATTTATTTGGAATACCAACACTATACAAATTAGGAAAAAATTCTCTTACCTTTGCTTGCTGTAGCCAAGAACAACTGAAGTAAAAGGACTGCTTGAACAATCCTGAATCTCAGGAAAATGTCCTGTACTCTGCCAACACAGCACTGCTGTTTTCCCCAGGCAACCATTCTAGAAGAAATAGATAAATAAATAAACCACAATGACTAGAAATTCTGTAGGTGTGTGGACGTTATGACAAAATATGTTTCCAACACGAGCAGAAGTCTTCTCAACCCTGTCGTACTATTGGGTGTATACTGCACAGAAATGCACTTGCCAAGACACTAAGAGAGAAAGAGATGTTTGCTGAAAGGGAAAAATACCCCCAAACAAAAAAAAAAATCCAAGCTCTAATTCTCCAAAGACTACAAATATATCAGAGCATGGCCATGACTCCTTGCACAAATAAGACTTTCAGCATTTGAAAATAAACAAACCCCTCCAAAAGATTCCCACACAACAGCAACAAAAAACCCAACCAAAAGCTGAAAGAGAAAGCATGGAAAGGTTGTCCAAAAGCTTTAATAATCTCAGTAAGTATGTAAGAAAGAATCTCTTCATTCCACTACCCACACCTTCTCTCATGTGACACTTTAACAGCAACACAATGAACTAAGAAAGAAGCAAGATTTTGATTCCCAATCCTCATCTCATTATCAAAGCAAGAAGCTACTGGGGAAAAAAAAAAGAGAGACAAATGCCACAAATCACTGTGGACAGCAAGTTCATATAACGAAAACCTGGTTTGTCCACCTTTCTTCCTAGTGATGGTTGTTTAATGTGAGCAACAAGACAAAAGAAAATGTGTAGGAAAAAGAATATGCCTCCTATTATGAGAGATACTATCCTATGAAATATTTTTTACAATATTTTCAAAAAAAGGTGCATCTGAATATTTTGCATGCTGAAAGAAACATTCGGGTGCTTTTTGCACACATTAATTCTTAAACAAAAAGTTTAGATATATAGCGGCAAGTGATTCTGTAGCTGATTCCTGGAACATGCAAAGCAGTAAACTTTACATATTGAATATCTCCCATGTATCGACTCTAAGGTAGAACAGAGCATTGTGCCTGACACCAGAAGAACTTGGCCATCACAAGCTGGGTGCATGTGCAAGTGCATAGGTTAGCACTCACACTGCTCACAAACTGCACTGTAATTCTGCTCATGCTGTGTCAGGCTGCAGTAGCTTCCCTTCTTTTCAGGCATTGTTAAATGGAGAGCTATTCCAGGACTTTCAATTTCTTTTAAGGTTAGGGCTAAAATGTATTTTTTTTGTGAGCATTCAAACAAATATTTATTACATATTTATTAATTTTAAATGGTCATTATGGGTTGAACTCTGCAAGAGAAGTGCCACAGGAAAAAACTAAGAAACAGTGAAGTTGCTAAGGAGTTGAAACTTTAGAAATTGATTAAACATACATGCAAATAAATTATAACCATATAACAACATAACATAGAAAGCATAAAGCAAAGACTCTTAAAATTAAGAGCACTGCAACATTGTTGCCAGTGTTTTCAAGAATTATGCAACATGCAACACTTCTAAAAAATTTTAAAAAGCTAACAAAATAAATCATATGCTAAAACAATGGTCATATCTAATATACACAATCCTATGCGTGAATTTATCAAAACCAAACAAAAACAAGTAAAAAAAGGGAAGAAATGTCAATGGTGGGCTAGCTTTCTAAAGATCCCCAAGAAACATGTTCAAACCTGTCCTCAGTTGGCTTCTCTGAATGTCTAAAAATCATATATTAATAAAGTTGTTCCATCAGCAACCTAAGTAGCAGAATTAAATTAATTCTCCTAAGAACTTGATAATGAAAAATTTTGTGCTTATACATATCTGACAACTTCAAGGACTGTGTATTTATAATGTAATTTCCTAGGGTTAAAGGAGATGCTCATCCAAAAACTGTTTCCTTTCTTTGCTTACTTACATTTCCCAGTCTAGTGTCAAATCAGGATACTTCCAAGCAAAACCAAGCTGCATATCTATTCTTCCACTTTATGGGGAAATCATTTATACACTAAACCATCCATCCAAAGTGACGTATTTAGACAATAAAACAAATACAACTTCCAGCATCCCTTTACTCTACTACCTAGATACCAAGAAGTTGACGGAACCCAAAAATACTCAGTGGCATCCACAAGTGTAGCCATTGATGCTGGCAAGTAATGAGGCAAGCTGCTTGCTTTGTGCCACATATGATACTGATTCAGAACACTCCTACATTCCCTGCTTTTGGTTTTCTCCTTAAGCCTCAGTCCTGCAAACAGACACACACGAAATGAATTGACTAGGGCAGAGGTTTACTCCTGAACCACCAAGCATGCCTTCTATTTTGTTTGGCAGAGCTCATTAGACAATGATGTTAGTGTCCCATACCCCAGAAATAAAAACTGCATTACAAAAGCCTAAATTTGAGTACAGGAGCCAAGAATAGTGACTCCAGCCCTTTCTGAGCACTCTGTAGGCTGAGGAGTTTGAATGGACCTTCCTCTAACTCTGGCATTTCAGAGTGAGCTTTGCTAATATATGTCCAGTGTTTAAACAAAATGCTGTAATAAATACTTTCTGTACATTCAAGTTTTTATCTCCTCTGGGTTTTTTGACATTGTTCTCACTTCCAGAGATGGGCCTGGCAAAGACAAGTAAGGCCAGAGACAGAGCTTCTTGTTGACTGGAAACAGTCACATCAAAAACTCCAAAACTATTCAAAGCTATGAATGAAAATTAATGATCCCAGGCAAAGCAATAAAATCCAGATATCAGGAAACTGAGTAAATATATAAAGTGAAATTCTGACATGGTCACAGCTCAACTGACTTTTTTCAAGACTTTGGATAGTTACACTAGTTCAAGATTTGTTCCAGTGTCCAGATAAAATGTACAATAAAGAGTTGGGAAAATAACATTTGTGTTCCTTTCTTTTTGCAACAATGTTGTTTAGACACTACCAAAGAAAAATATGCTGCTATCTTTGGTATATTTTTTTAAGAAAAAAAGCAAGATATAAAATACAATTTCACCATATCTATTCAAATAAAGATCATATGATACATTCCAAAACATTTGGCCATTATGTTCTTCTTAAACTTATTTAAGTCCTTTTCTGTATTAGAATCCTAAATCTTTCTTATTAATGAGCAGTAATGTAATTGCAGGTATATAGTTGTAGACATTACAGAATTAGGCATAAGGGATTCTTTTCATTTGATATTGATTTGGTATGTGTTCAAATGAACATTTGTATTTTTCTTCATACTAGATGAATACAGTGTGACTCAGGGAGCCCAGCATAATCATGCATAGTTTTTGCAGCAGGATGAAAAATTTTCACATGTATATCAAGCAAATCTAATTCAGTACAGCAGTTACTGAGCCACCCAAGTGTGAGAAAGAATTCTGTGCACAGACTTCAGGTAAAGATGTAACAGCTGGCTTCACTTTCTCAATTACAACTAAGTGGTTTTTATTTACAAAGAGCTAAGTGTCTGAAATAGACGACAGTATAAAATATTTCTTTATGGTCAGCAGAAAAAACAAAAATTCATAAAATAGAAATTAAAGGCTCAGGCATAAATCTGTTACATCCCGTTTGGTCTCCATGAAGCGTCTTATTTTGACCAATGGCATTTCACACCATTTTTTAATTTGAAAATCAAACTATAATTGACAGTGCTTTTCTTAAAACAAATGAATAAATATACTTTGAAAAATTGAGGGGTTTTTTTGTCTGTTCTGTTATACATCACAGTTCTGCATTAGGATCACACTCTGCAAATTAAAGAGGTTAGTGGAAACAAAGAAAGATGGTATAAAAAAGGAGTCTGTATTCCTATTATTATTAATAGTTAGCTCATGCTCTGCTATTTTACTTTACTACTTTCCAAATGTGCACCCATAGGTGACATACCAAGACATCTAGCACTTACCTTCAGCAACTGCTTGCCTTGTAGTACAGCAGATATATTTTCATAGGATTAAAGACAAAGAAAGTGCAAAACATAAATACAGAAGTTGTGTTCTGTAACATACTTTTTTAAATCACTTTTGCAAAAATTTCACATCCAAATTTCACAATTCCTGTTGAAAATACTTATTTACTGGCAGTTTTTAACATTTAATAAACTACTAGGTCTTTTAAGCTAAGTTTTCGCCAGAGCAGGTTCTCACTGCCAATGCATAAACAGCTGGTTACAGAAAGTTATGTTGGAAATCATGGCCCAAAGCAATCATTCATTTACTTCCAACCATGCTGTCCACTGCTGCACCTCAAACTGCTTTGTTCAAGCCACACTTATTTCATCCATAGTCTTTGGGTCTCATTCTGTCTTCTTGTATTCATCTCCTACTAAGATTTTGGGTTTCAATAAAAGTATTTCCCAAATGTATAGAAGCTACTGCTGAGGAAGAGGAGGATAATAATGAATGGTAAGCTCCTGGCTGCTCTTCTGTGATATTCTGCCTTATTCAAATCTATACCAGGTGATAAAAGGCTAAAACAAGGAAGAGAAACACATTATACTGCCCAGGTATAAAAATTTCTTGATGTCTTTTCTTTCAGAAAAATAAGACTAGACTTCTTCCATCAACTCCTTATATTTTCCAGACTGGAACCAAAACACAGTAAAGTTTTTATGTTATTTTTAAATTTTGGCTGAAGCAACTTAGATGTAATAGGGAGGACACTTATGTTGGAAACTCTTGTGTCACAGTACATCTTGGCACACACGGAATTTACTGACTTAACAGCAGAAGTAGCACCATTGAGTTTAAAATGTTGTTCCATAGGGGCTTTTTAATGTGTTTTTCTGAAAGACAGCAATTGGATTATTACTGTCTGATAATAATTTGGTTTTCATTAATTTTCTCCAGTGATAGTCATGTCTGTAAAAACTGTTTTCTATATAGTCACCGTGTTCACATAGTCACTTTATGTAAAACACCAGCTTTTCTAAGACTGTAATGGTAATGTGTTCAAGGATCTTCCTCCTGACATAAATCTTTACTATTTTCAAAGATATGAAATACTTTACTTTTTAATAAGTTGCCTTACAGAGAGCAACAAACCACTTAAGCACAGACATCAGTCATCTGCAAAACTCAT